TTCATTCTTTCCATACCGTTGAATGGAACTTACCATTAAACGTTATGTTATTCTTCACTGCCCATTGGAAAACACTGCTTGTATCTTCCTGTAATTTTTCAGTGTCTTCTACCGTAGTGACTTTCATGCTTACTTTGGTGTCATTTACAAATAATACAAAACTGCGTCGGGTGTTTTTATCTGTCTATGAGGATGAGAAACAGCAGAGGTGCCAAGACAGTGCCTTGTGGAACTGAGCTTTTTACTTCACTGATGCTGGAATTTGGCATAAACTTTTGGGATGTCTTAGAGCTGAAGATTCGCAACATGAATTGGGCAGCTGACAAATGTGCAGTCAGCATGGGCCAGAATCTTTAAGGAATATTTCCAACACCTTGTTGAATCCATGCCGCAAAACATTCAGGCAAAGGAGGATTCTACCAAGTACTAGAAGGGTGTACCTAATAAAGTGGCTACTGAGTGTATATACATACACATATAATCTTAAAATTTCATTTGGTTCTCAAGATTGACAAAATTGCCAGAATGGTCAAGAGGCAACATAACATTTACAGTTACGATAATGCTTAATACATCATAAAACAAGTAAAATATTTACTGATTGAACATTGGGAGAGTGAGAGTTATTAAGAAAGGCGAGGTATAGTGAACGATCCTGACATCATTATCAGCTCAAGTAACGGAGGGCGTGATTCAAGGCGTAGCTTCGCCAAATCATGAAACAAATAGCGTAATGGAAAACCCAAGACTCTATTGGAATTCTTTAATGACGTATACAAAAACTGCAACTGGAAAAATCCCCTTGGGTACAATACACCTCAGGTTTCAAAGTTTTTGAGGAAATATATCATGAAAAGGTTAAATATTGTATATTATTGGTCAAGATTTAGCACTGCTCAATGAGAAACGTGTTTCTCGAGAGAAAGTTGGGAGCATCATTAACCTGGTGAGCCTCGCCGTGGATAATCAAGGTGGGTTGCCTCAAGCGATGCTCCTTTATAAATTATTTTGAATCGGCACCAAAGTCAAGATTGTTATGAATGTCACTGGTAGAATATACCGACAGATACATGTTAATATAACACAATATACTGGTTTATGGCAGTTTATTTAACAGACATTTCGTGCACCTGGAACGTTATCGCGTCAGAATAGTGTCTGTGTTGGTCAAAACGTCGTCTGGATAAAATTCCATGAAGGGTATATTGTGTCTTCGAAACATGCATAGAAACTTTCAAAATTTCCCGTTTGAAAAAGAAGACGGAGAGTTACTTTGATAGACTCTACCTGAGAGTACATTGTGAAGGTAGACAGCACCAGATGACTCTACCTGAGAGTACATTGTGAAGGTAGACAGCACCAGATGACTCTACCTGAGAGCACATAGGAAAGGTAGACAGCATTAGACTGTAATAGAACAATACTTAAGCATTTAGGGTTTGAAGCTGATTAGAAGAGTCATTCTCTAGTTATTACATTCGAAACAATTTACTTAAAATTATCAGTATGAAATTTACGCATCTAAGTGACAACTTATGCTTTAATAAAACCTATCAATGATAAAAGTTTAAAGGTGATCAGAAAAAAAAGCCTCTCCAGTAATTGATCCAATTCCAATAATTCCATATTTTTTATTTTCAGTAAAATCTCAAAATTGCACCTACTTGGAAGCAGAAATATCACTATATATTCAATAAAATTGGCAAATTGGGCAATAAGAAGTTTGTGTTCAGGACACTACACTAGTGGTGAAAATTTGAAACCGGTCAGATGCGTCATTTTGCAGATATGACAATGATTTCAACGATTCCAGGTATAATTTACTATTTTAGCACAAGAAATTTACACGCAAATGAAACTTAATAAGTACTATCCTGGCCCTAAGTTGCATCAGCCATTAAATATTGAAGCCGTTCAGAGGAGCTAAATATTATTTAACGTGATTGAAGGGGAATAAAAAAAATTCACATTATTTTGCACACAAAACAGTCAAACCTGCACCAACACCTGAATTTCACGCTTCACCGTCGTGAGATTTTTGGCACTTTTTTTTTTGAAGGGTTGAAGCTTCGCCACTTAGGGCATTGAATTTATCCTAGCCATTGCAGGAAGATGGGAATGAGTTGAACAACTTGTGTCATAGAGCACGTGAACGTCACACTTCTAAGAATTTGGTTCTCGTTACAGTACACGAGTGTTGAAAATTTGAAGGCGATTGGAGTTATGAGATAAATAAAATAAGAAAGTTGGAGGAACAAGGTAATGAGAAAAATCAGGCAGCCTCTTAAAAGTTCCCCTTCGTGGATTAATAATAATAATATTAATGGAAACCTGGCGGTCAAAGGAGAGAGAGAGAGAGAGAGAGAGAGAGAGAGAGAGAGAGAGAGAGAGAGAGAGAGCGAGAGCGAGCGAGCGAGTCGTATAATAGGTTCAGTGGCAGGTGAGATGCAGCAAATACGTCCCCATGTAATATAACTAGAACCACCAACATATCCCTAATTCTCTTTGGAGCCAGGGGTGTACAGTGTTTGAGCTGTTTGCACTAACAACCTATCTGATCAGGTGGACAAATTATAGGTTGTTAGTAGAATCTTCCTCAAGCTTCAGGTGGTCAACAATAACGACATCAAGTACAGAAAGCAATGTTTATTAGCGAGTACTTCAACTAATAATGTATTATTTACATTATAAAATCCCAGAAGCAGCATTTACCAAAATATGCAACACGTTAAAACAAATTTCGTAAACGCTGACATTTGTCCTCACACGACTTACAAAATAAAAAATAATAAATTTTAAATATATCAAACACATTGTTTTTCTTACGAAGATTTTTTATTATTTTGGAAAACATGTAATAACTTTGGCATTAAACAATAATTATTTGTGAGATACAAGGTGGTTCTTCAGTAAGGAACGTAGCAGTACTTAGTGGAAGAGTAATAAAACAGTGGGAGATGTATCGTATTTTTGGCATGTAAGGCGCGCTTTTTTTTTCCCCACAAAAAGACCTTGAAAATCACCCTGCGACTTGTATGCTCAAGGTCAGGGTCAATAGTAGGCATTAAGTTACGCTTTAGCGTAAAGTATCAAGGTCATTAGCAGTTGAATATGATTACTGATGTACCGTTTTGGTACTTGTGTCGTGCACCTTATATGCCGGAAAATACGGTATATGACTGTAGTGTAGATTCAGATCGCGAGAATAAGCTACCACTTTAAGTGTAAATGCAATACAAACCTTTAATTATCACTTAGATAAGCATTTCATGTTATTGGTATCAAATATATATATTAAATAGTTAAGAGTCGCAACTTTTGTGTTTTCTCTTTACGAAATATTCATTTTGAGGAAGGTCTCTCTCTCCTCATCTGATGCTGCCGTGGGGAATGAGATTTTTTACTCAAACTTTGGAAATTTGTGGAAAAAGCATTATCATGGAGCTAACTGACCCAGGAAGTCCTCAGTGCAGATACGTGGTTGCGAGAGGAGGACAAGAGTACTTTTTACTATGTGTGTCGTCTTATGATACTTGCACATAACATTTGTAACGTATTAACTGCATACTAATACACACAACTCCCTTTTATAATACACTATATTCTGTATATTTTGTACTCTTTTATAATACACTATATTCTGTATATTTTGTACTGCCTCTTCTTTCCCTCCATCTCTCTCAGGTTACTCTCACGTCGTTCAGGTTCAGGTATCAGGTTCAAGCTATTAGGTTAATTTCAGGTCCTGAGTGGATGAGAACCAGGTGTCAGAGTAAGGCTTTATATCAGCATCTTGGCACTCTGCCTGCATTCCTCATACTTTTTCGTAAGAGCCATTTGCCTTCGTGACGTAATGTTTGCTTTCCTGACAATCACCTAAACTTTGATAACTGACACCTGTCTGTATTCTCTTATCTTTTCTTGCCGGAATCAAGCTCCAGCTCTTGGGGCCCCACCATTTAACGTTGCTGTGCATTCCTGTTCCCACCTCTAAGTATATTGTGTGTGTTAATAAAAACGATTGAGAGGCAAAAATCTGCCGACAAGTATAGGAGAGAGACTGCTTAGAGTAAACTTTTATAGACTGCGTTTTGCTCTGGAAAGTTATCAAAGTTGTTTTTAGAGAAGTTTGCCCTGCACATAGTATCTTTTCTACCTTGTGCCTATATTTTCTCTGAGTTTTCTTTTTTCCCCAGTGTTGTGAGGTTTAATTCTTCTGTTTCCTCATGCATGATAACTAGTCTGGTGATAAATCTCTGGAACATCTCAAAATTTCTTGCGTTCAAGGATGTGGGTTTCAAACTGGCGTTGCAGATCCCACTATCTTGAGAAGTGTAGTGTACGTTACCCTGAAGAATCTTTGTTTAAACTCCCTTGAAGTTTCAAGTTACCTACATCTTCCCCCCCCCCCCCCGCTATCTCTCTCTCTCTCTCCCTCTCCACAGCTATCAACCTTTCCCGTTACCCAGATCACCCCCTTCCCCACTCTGATATGGAGGTTTTTGGTGCCTAAGTTAAGTTTGTTTGGAAAATGCTCGGTCAGATGGCGAGACAAAGGCTGCTGTAACGAGCTCGCTGTTTAGCAGACTTCTGCCTTATAGTGACTGCTTGAGCCACATAAATGCGTCTTTTGGGAAAGATGCAGTTGTTTGGTCCCTCCCTCCTTCATCAGGAATCATCGCTTTGAGTTCATCTCTGTCGATAGAGGATCGAGCACAAGACCCTCAGTTTGCCTCCCTCCGTCTGTGTACCTTGTGGTGTGCAGTTGACTATGGAATACAATTATCTGTTTACCTAAGAGTTAGTTTTCTGTTAACATCATGCTTTTTATAATTGCCGAGGTGTCTGTAGGGATCTCGAGGGAACATTTAAGAGTTTTTTTCGACATTAATAATTTAATGGGATATTTAAGTAGTGCTCGATATTTTAAATTGGTGTGATAATATTTATTTGTTGTTCTATTCCTAAGAATATTTTTTTCATTGGGTGCTAATTTTACCTTGTGTGTGTGTGTGTGTGTGTGTGTGTGTGTGTGTGTGTGTGTGTGTGTGTGTGTGTGTGTGTGTGTGTGTGTGTGTGTGTGTGTGTGCGCGCGCGCGCGCGTTTTTTTTTTTTTATTGTCGAATACTAAATGACCACTCGGATCAAAGTGTTGGTCACATGTCAAACTGCCTGTCTGCCTCCACACTTAACTGTTTTTCTAAGTAACTCTATACCTAACTGTGTTTCGTCACATTTCCATACCTAACTATTTTGAATTGGCGTTACTTATGTTTATTTTAAGTGGACACAGCAGTGATAAACTATTCTCTCACCAGAAACAAGAACACACACGTAGGAGGTGAAGTTTATTAATTTATAAAAATTATCAGTGTACAGGTGGAATTACGTAGCGATTATATGTACACTACGCATTAAATAATTCATAGCAATTAATGTATTGTTTTGGTGAGTTTGGTGTGTTTTGCAAGGCTGAAATTTATACTGCCTTTGGTTGGTTCTAGCTACATCTAAGGTTTAAAAACTATATAAGAAACCGAGTATGGATTACAACCTTTGTACTTTGAACAGTGATTGAGTGTATTAAATGTATTATAATGCGTGCTGTATGTTGCGGAAAGACGAGCAGGAGGAAGCGTCGAAAATGTCGATAAAGACTTGAAAAAGGCGAAAACAGATTTCAAGATGACGATGACTTGCAGTAGTTTCAATGTTAATTATGCTTATTCTGCTTGCTTGACTTCCTGCTACTGTTGATAATACTTTGGCTGTTGTAATTCTACAATTCTACTGCTGCTGCTGCTGCTGCTGCTCCTCTCCTTAATTGCTACTATCGCTCTATTGATTTTAATTCAAATGCTACTGTTGCTGTTTCCATTGTTAACGCTACTGTTGCAAATATAAATTTAGCTACAGGAAAGGCTAAATGAGCTAGTTTGTAACAGCTGTGTTGATTTGCATCCCGCAGGCAGCGAAAATCTCCGCTATTTGAAACTGGTGACGAGTATGCTACCAGTGAGCCATGATGAAATATCTTCCAACTGCTGTTACCTATGTCATGCTGCTACTGTTGCTTTCGTTACTAAAACTGTTGCTACTTCCGTAGTTACACCTCTCTTACTTTTTCTTTTTATTAATCGTACTCCTGTTAGTTCCATAGTTTTTAAGTACCGTTACTTCTGCTGTTAATTTGCTTTAAATTATTCTCTTTGTTTTCTGCTCTTAGAAAACCTTTGTCAATGTTTTCCGCCTCGTGTTGTCTCCATGCTTCTTTCCCTTCCTCCTTGTTCTGCCATGTTCCTCCACAGTGTCCACTTCTCTTCCTCTCCTCCTCCTCGAGGCTTCCTCATAACTCTGTCTTCTGCCCTCCTCTCTTTTTGTCGTCTTACATTTTGCATTATTATTGTAGCTGCTACTGCTACCTTTACCTTCGGGAAATACAAAATAATGACTTCAGACTTCTGTTCCAATTTCATTACTTTTTTCTCCTCATCTTTCGGCCTGGTTCGTGTATTACATTTGGCCAGCGCTCTCGTAATCCTGCCTGCGAGAAAGAAAAATAAATCGTAAATGGAAATGTATGGGAAAGACAGCAGTGTACATGGAAATCCACGCCCAGACTATCTGCCGAGTAGGACTGTGTACAACCACTTAGATTATGAGCTATCGTATATTATCTATTTAGTTGTGTGTGTGTGTGTGTGTGTGTGTGTGTGTATGTGAAGGATACAAAATCAGAAGGCTTTCCTGTTGTATTTTAGCAGCTTTCACGTATCTTCATCGGCAAGGGGGAAAATATTGAATTTTACCGTAAAAAAATTAGTTTTCGAGAGAAAACTGGATCATTATCAGCTGGAAGTTCCTGATCAGGAAGGCTATCATGGCTGCGTTGGCCTTCGGGACGCTAGCAGCAACAGCCTCGTTGGCCAGACTGCCAAAAAAGAAAGGAGAGCCTCAGCAGGACGGGCTGCGAGGGTTAAACAAACTTTGAAACCGGTCACACGTGTATCACAAATATTTTAGTCGTAATGATGGGTAAAGTCGTTTTGTGGGTTTTAAAGTGTTGGATCTAATTAACTGTTCGGCGCTCATGTTGCACCAACCAGTGCTGCGAGGTGTCGTTATGGAGTCAGTTTCATAACATTAAACCAAAGGAGAGTTTATTTTTAACAATTGTAAAATTTAAACATTGAATACATGGGGTGCCTGTGAATACATTAATCAAAGCTGTGAAGGCAATTTCAGTCCCGTGTAACTGTATATGTTACCCAGTGGTGACGGTTTCTGACTCATAGAAATACATTTTGCACCTGTCGCGTCGCCGGGTCACCATCTGGAGAAGACCCGGGCCTGGACAAGACCGGCGAACCTACTACAGTACACCTCCTGTCAACTCTGAGGTTTTAAACTCAAAGTGAAAGATTCTTCCCAGCAAAACTTTAATCGGACAATGTTTCGCTCAGTGTAGAGCGTTATCAGGTCATGATTTAATAAAGCTCAACACTTGAGAGAAACATTACTAGACTAAGGACTTGCTTTACAATCGCTCTATATTTACCATACAAACCTTAAGTGTTTTTTGCTCAAATTTTAATATTAAATATATTTAGACTGCGAATTTGGTGCTTTATATATAAATATATTTGCATTATTGGGAGCACAGAACTAACAAGGTTAGCGTCATGCAGAACCTCGTAACACCTGAGTGGCAGCAACCAGCACCTGAGTGGCAGCAACCAGCACCTGAGTGGCAGCAACAAGCACCTGAGTGGCAGCAACAAGCACACCCCATCACAGTCAACACAGCCACGAGGAACACGAGACACTAAAAAATTTTTACCATAGCAGCTGCACTTGGTAAAACATAATTATTCATAAGTTATGAATTACACGAAACTATTGTGTGTAAGTAGGCTCACTATATATAATGTGTATCACCTGCCCTGAAAAAATGTATCAAAAATGGTTATAATCATGACGTTATTTTTTTTAACGGGGCGGACCGGTAAGAAAGCTGCGGGTCATCATATGACTAAGACTCGCGTCAGGAAACATTTGTCCTGTTTCCTGACGAAACTTACCTAACCTAACTTGCCCTGACTAACTTCAGGCGTAATCCCACACTTCTCTTGCTTCACATTTCACGGAGCTCCTTAAGGCCAAACTTTTTGCAACTCTTTGCAACCCATTCTCCAGATTATAATTATATATATTTTTCAGCGTGTTACAGTGCGTCAATTTCTGCACCGTCTAAACCGACACCAGAATTAAATATCACGTATTCATTGTTGGATTAAACTGTTCTCGAATAAACCCTATTTACCTACAATTAAGGTTAACGAAGATGGCGTCTTACATCTGGCAGCGACGTTGACCGGGTCGTCGCTTACACACATGAAGAACACACGTTCCTTGTTTATATTGAAGGACTAGTTACTAGATAGTGGTCTCCACTCTTACATACAGGTAGATGTAGAGTTAAATAAGGTGGTAAATATATGTGAGTACAGGTAATTAAGATATAAAAACAAGACCAAGTTTGGTCTCCTAGGTCTCAAAGCCAAACATTGTCTCAAAAGTTAGTATTCTCTCAGTTTTTCATTAACTAGTCAGTTTTACATCTTTCCCAGTTAAGTGTGGATTCAGATGCTACTAAAACAGGTGTAGCCAGGACGTACCTGAGGGCGGTGAGGTGGAAGTGGAGGGACGGGGCGATAGGAGGTTAGGCAGACTCCAACACTGCCTCCACCTCCTCCGCCGTCAAGATGCCTTCCCTCACTAGCTCATCAAACTTCTCCAGTACAGCCTCGTCCTGAAACAAACTCTTGTACTGGTACACAAACAGTAATGGAGATCACACTAGCTTAAAAGATGGGACCGGGAGCTGAGACTACCCCCGCTTATACAAATAGATAAGCTCAGTAACGCAGAGGTACAAATAGTAGTCATAGCCATACCCAGTAAATTGTTGCATTGATTTCACTTCCGCCTCGTATTTTTACTATAAAGACACGCTAACCAGCGTTTTCTTTTTTCAGTTCAATGCAGAGACAGTAGATGAGGTAATCAGTCCCTCAGTCTTGATTATGTGTAGTCCCTCAGTCTTGATTATGTGTAGTCCCTTAGTCTTGATAGATGTTTAGTCCCTTAGTCTTGATAGATTAAACTTTAGTCCCTTAGTCTTGACAGATGTTTAGTCCCTTAGTCTTGATAGATGTTTAGTCCCTTAGTCTTGATAGATGTTCAGTCTCTTAGTTTTGTTAGGTGTTAATTCTCTTAGTGTTGTTAAGTGTTCAGTCGTTTAGCCTTCATTGAATTAAGGTGATACTCAGGCGTCACACATGTGACTTTTCTATTTTGACTCACCTGGAAGAAGTTAGGCATGTCCTCGATCGCTGCGGACTGAAGATCCACATCTTGTGGTAACTTGTTCTCCAGGCTACCATCACCCTGGTACTGAGACACGTCAGAATGTTCATCGACGCTCCCTGCCACGCTAATACCCATCATGCCCATGTTCTCTGTCCCGTTCATGTCTCCATTCGCACTTATTTCAACCTTTTCGTGTTGCCTCCCCCACTCGTGCACCTGCAGTGGAGAAGATAGTTACTGGTTTATATTTATTGATGTAAGGGCCAAGTGATTGGGTAAGACAAGTTTTAACATGTTTCCAACGTTTTTATTTCTAGACGCGTATAATGTGTGTTCTATTTGAAAATAAATTATAACATTAAAAAGTTGTTAGTAGGCATAGGTGTTAGGAGCCAGATCAACTAGGCTGTTATGAATGTGGGTCAGCGAGCCACCAACCACAACAGCCTGGTTCACCAGGCAAGCATCAGACTAGCCTGGTCCATGGCCGGGATCCGGGAGTAGAAAGACTCTCGGAACTCATCAAAGGTACGTAAGATCATGTATCATCACAACGTGCCATATCAGACAGGTTGCGACGGCTATGTAGGTCTGTGGGCTGTTATCAACAACAACCAAGTTGACCAGATAGTCAACAAGTCTGACCTCAGACCGGGCTGCGGGGTAGAAGCATCGTCGAAACTAGTCACAGGTATGTCAGGCGTCAGATAAGTTCACAGGTGAGGCAGTAGCTGGTACAAGTGTCAAACAAGTGTGACACTGTGTCATTATTACACGTCACTGACTTGGGCATCGATTTAGCTAAATTAACTGTATTGCTAAAGTTAGCGTCTGATGCCCAAGTTTAATGATATTAGAAGCCGGCGTCTGATGAATACCTTGACAGAATTTACCGCAGCAGGATCTGTCTTCGACTGGTGTTTCAAATGCTTGTTTTTGAATCAATCACCGTTAAGTGTTTCTAATGATTCTTGTTAATAGTTATACAAGTAAAAGAAAAACGACCTATCGGATTCTTCCGGCTCATCAGGAAGGTTTAGTGTAGTGGGGGGGGGGGGTGTTGGAGCTCTGCTAAATACAACCACTTTTTTTTTTTTTACTGCAATTCCACAGGGGTTAAGATCAGAGTAAACAGGTGATATCACAATAAGCAAAGCAATCACAGAGAAAAAAATAATGAAATTCCAAGCGTCTTCTTGATTTCTTGTATTATTGATAATGTAAGAAATCACGAAAGTGCTTAGAGTTTTATTATGTTTTCACTGATATATATATATATATATAATATATATATATATATATATATATATATATATATTATATATAATTTTGGAGTGGTTGGTGCAATTATTTAATAAATGTATGGAAGAGGGTAAGGTACCTAGGGATTGGCAGAGAGCATGCATAGTTCCTTTGTATAAAGGCAAAGGGGACAAAAGAGAGTGCAAAAATTATAGGGGGATAAGTCTGTTGAGTATACCTGGTAAAGTGTATGGTAGAGTTATTATTGAAAGAATTAAGAGTAAGACGGAGAATAGGATAGCAGATGAACAAGGAGGCTTTAGGAAAGGTAGGGGGTGTGTGGACCAGGTGTTTACAGTGAACCATATAAGTGAACAGTATTTAGATAAGGCCTAAGAGGTCTTTGTGGCATTTATGGATTTGGAAAAGGCATATGACAGGGTGGATAGGGGGCAATGTGGCAGATGTTGCAGGTGTATGGTGTGGGAGGTAGGTTACTGAAAGCAGTGAAGAGTTTTTACGAGGATAGTGAGGCTCAAGTTAGAGTATGTAGGAAAGAGGGAAATTATTCCCAGTAAAAGTAGGCCTTAGACAAGGATGTGTGATGTCACCGTGGTTGTTTAATATATTTATAGATGGGGTTGTAAGAGAAGTAAATGCGAGGGTCTTGACAAGAGGCGTGGAGTTAAAAGATAAAGAATCACACACAAAGTGGGAGTTGTCACAGTTGCTCTTTGCTGATGACACTGTGCCCTTGGGAGATTCTGAAGAGAAGTTGCAGAGATTGGTGGATGAATTTGGTAGTGTGTGCAAAAGAAGAAAATTAAAAGTGAATACAGGAAAGAGTAAGGTTATGAGGATAAAAAGATTAGGTGATGAAAGATTGGATATCAGATTGGAGGGAGAGAGTATGGAGGAGGTGAATGTATTCAGATATTTGGGAGTGGACGTGTCAGCGGATGGGTCTATGAAGGATGAGGTGAATCATAGAATTGATGAGGGGAAAAGGGTGAGTGGTGCACTTAGGAGTCTGTGGAGACAAAGAACTTTGTCCTTGGAGGCAAAGAGGGGAATGTATGAGAGTATAGTTTTACCAACGCTCTTATATGGGTGTGAAGCATGGGTGATGAATGTTGCAGCGAGGAGAAGGCTGGAGGCAGTGGAGATGTCATGTCTGAGGGCAATGTGTGGTGTGAATATAATGCAGAGAATTCGTAGTTTGGAAGTTAGGAGGTGCGGGATTACCAAAACTGTTGTCCAGAGGGCTGAGGAAGGGTTGTTGAGGTGGTTCGGACATGTAGAGAGAATGGAGCGAAACAGAATAACTTCAAGAGTGTATCAGTCTGTAGTGGAAGGAAGGCAGGGTAGGGGTCGGCCTAGGAATGTTGCAGTTTAAAAACTGTAGTGTAAAGCACCCTTCTGGCAAGACAGTGATGGAGTGAATGATGGTGAAAGTTTTTCTTTTTCGGGCCACCTGCCTTGGTGGGAATCGGCCAGTGTGATAATAATAATAACACACACACACACACACAACACACACACATATAAATATATATATATATATATATATATATATATATATATATATATATATATATATATATGTATATATATATATATATATTATATATATATATATATATATATATATTATATATATATATATATATATTATATATATATATATATATTAGATTGGACGGAAGGGGAATATGGAAGAAGTAAATTTGTTCACATATTTGGGAATGGAATTGTTGGCAAATGGTTTCATGAAGGATAACGTGAACCATAGAAATGAAGGGAAAAAATGTGGGTGGTGCATTGAGGCAACTGTGGAGACAGAACTTTATCTGTGGATGCATAAAGGGGAATGTAACAGGGTATAGTGGTACCAACACTGTTGTACTGGTGTTAATTAAGCATGAGTTTTGAATGCTGTAGCGAGGAGACTGGACGCGGTGAAGATGCTTGACGGCAATGTGT